AGCCTTCTTGTAGGACCTCGAATCGGTATGTTTTTTTTTTTCATTTTTTCTTTTAAATTCGGAGCCTGACACATTTTAGCCGAATGCCATGGTTTATATGCCGACTCTTTGCATGAAGATGTTGACATTTTTGAAGAACAAAATCCTTGAAATTATTAGAAATGATACCACATTTCTAATAATTGTAGTATTTTGTTTATTCGAAGGATTTTCTTCTAGGGCTCGGCCCGCCCGTTATTAGTAAGTTTCTTGATAAGGCATAGATACCTTATTTTATTGGGTGATCTATTATATATTACATTACAATAGCTTGGTTGTTAGTCCGTCCACCGAACTGATAGTATTGTTAATCGAAGAATAGTTAAGACTTGTCTGTACTGGTCTACAAACAGCCCTATTTCACCAAAAACACCTTTAAAATTTACAGGCATTGTTATAATGAGAGCTACCGTTTTCTGTTTCACCGAATGGCGCCTCTGTTGAGTGAGGTCCTGTTTCAAACTTTTAAAATTTATTAATACGCGCGTGAAATCAAAGTTTACATTTAAATCGTTTTTTAATACAAAAGAACCGTATCGTAAACATATCGGCCATGCCACAGTGATGCGCAGTTCCGTTTTATTCGAAAAAAAGGGAGGATAATATAATTTTTCTTAGCTCCGCTTTTAAAAAACGGACATTCATTGTCACGTAACTCATATTTGCCATGATTAAGCCGTTATTACCAAATATTCACAAAATTATTTTAATTAGAAATAAACCCGCGTAGTCAACCCACAAGCAATAACATTTGACATTTCGGAGACCTCACGTTACACTAGCGCCTCTAGCGGCGGATTCATACGCGATAGCCCTCATCTTACTTCAACGACAATTTTATTGTTTTTTGAAACAAGGGTAATTTTTTAAATCGACATAATAGGGAAGATGCAAATATAATATTAATGAAAATTTTATGATTAAAATGTTAAAAAAATATAAAAGAAAGGCCACTGCAACGTTCATATTTGACAATATGTTGTTTTTTAACAATAATTAGGAATTAAAAATGACTTGAAAAAACGTATTTTAAAACACCAATCAGCGTTTAGTGACGTCACTCCTGTTATGACAACTTATTTGAGGTTATGGTTGTAAAAGTGAATATTATTTTATGGGAATATTAATTGGGTTTTTTAATAAAAATGGAAGTTGGAGTTATCAAAGGAGACTCCAGGAATTTACCAAGAGTTAGTGTTGACATGGTTGTAACTTTTTTTGTCCAAAGTGCAGTTTTCAAGTGAAGAAATGAAAGGGACTACATTACTACGGTATGTATCAATCATAGTTGTTAAACTTTGTATTTTATTCAGCGGCTTGTACACATACCAGTTATTTCAGCTCAACAAGAGAATCTTACGGCAATAACGCAATCGGCTATGTCCAAATTAAAAGAGATGGAGAATTATGTAAGTAAAAAGTCGAGTTATTCCGGAGCATAAAGTACGTACGTATTACAAATTAAAAATAGACAGGTTTTGTAAGTATTAGTTAGGTTACTAACGCGTTTTTACGTACAAACAGATTAATTAAGCATTTGTCAAGTATATTCGCCGACTTACGTAAAAGTGATCTTCACAGCATCGACTAAGGGTTTTGGAGATTAATTGTCATTTCTCTTCGCAGCTTGAAACCACTTTTTCTCAGTTTTGGGTCAATGAAATTAATTCAATCAAAAGTCAAAAACAATTTATTTGGAAACTTTGTTGAAGTAGATGGACACATTGGCACAAAACATGAGTTAACACGGCTTTTTTCGGAATATTAGTGGTATTGTTATGCGCTTACCACACGCACAAGCTTCACTACAGTTTGGCCTGCGCAAGCACCTCGCACGAAAAAACTGTACACTTTGTGCGTTACCATACGGCACAGTCAAGTACGCGCAAGCCTCATTCTTATCGAAATCATTGGCGTGGAAACAATGTTTCCTAATGAAGAAACATTTCTTATGCTACTATTTTTCAAGTGTTTGCTATTAAAAAAACATGTAAAAACAATAGGATATGTACATAATATGTGCAAGTAGGTAGGTAGTAGGTATTAGGCATAGGTATTTAGTTGCAAAAATTATGTTTTACCTCTTTCATTTTATTTATCATTCTTTCGTAGGCGTCGTTCTTTTTATTTCGGTCGGAATAATCTTTAGATTTAATTTTCCAGAGTGCAGGCAGAGATTTGTATAAACCAATTAATTCAGACGTGAATTCGCGATTGTACGTACGCAAATCTGCCATTTTTGAGTGACGATGACGAACAACCACATTAAACGACAAGCGAGCCTCGACACAAAGTACACTCGACTGTGGCTTGAACACTGAACGCCCAACCACACGCACAGGTCGGGCTTGCGCAGGCAAAATTTCAAGCAAGTCGAAAAATGCGCAGGCCGCGCTGTGGGGTTGGCGCGTGATACAGTTTTACCAACTACACGCACCGTGTTCCGTGTACAAACCGGCCTGCGCAGGCAAAACTGTGGTGAAGCTCGTGCGTGTGGTAGGCCCATTATGATCACCTGATGTTGATGGATAGTCCATTTTAAATTTTTACAAAAAAATATCTATAAAGTCGAAAAAATATGCAAAAGTATGAAAGCGACGAACAAGTACGACCAGTGACAGACAGGAGTGACGTTATCGGAACCATAGGTCCGTTTTGCGCGAAAATTGAAACAGTCAATTTAAAACCGCATTTTTTCCGATAAATTACATTTTTTATTTTTTTTAATATACCTGTGGTTTATTCTACACGGAATTCTTTAAAATGAAAACAATAATAAAAATATTGCATCTTCCCCATTGTTAAATAGGCAGTAATTCATGACGTGAAATCTTCGTGAAATCAGGGTTGTGTAAGATTTGCATTACAATTTGTAGTGTTTTCGTTCTTTATTACAAAATGGCTTTCTGCGAAAGCTTGAAAAGCTGAGTTCTTGTACAGTAGACTATAAAGAACGAATTTCTAAATTTAACACAAATTATGAATAAAAAAAAAATCGTAATTTAAACGAAAATTTCTCCTTTGACATCACTGATTTTGCGTTCAACCGCCAACATAATTGTCGGCTTCGTTAAATAGGGCACTGCTAATACAAGACCACACTTTTCGGCTTCCAGTGCAAATGAAACTCTCATGAAGTTTTAAAAACAATTTTATTATCTGCTTATCCTAATGAATTTGTCTCAAAAGTACAAAAGATTAATAACATCACAATCATGGACGGATTTAATTCAGTCTTACAATCCTACGGTAAAAATGTTAAGGTAATATAATTATTAAAAAAAAAGAGTGAAAAATTTAAAATAAATTGCAGTAACAGTGTATTTATTCATAAAATGTCACACTGCTATAACATAATATCCTAATTGCCATGAATGGCACTTTTTGAAGACTATGCAGGTAGTCTCACAAATATAAGGAGAACGATCGCTGTAGAAAATAGTATCCCAGAAATATGGACAAAATAAATGAGGCGCTGCGATCGCTAAGTTGTCTCAATAAAAGCGGGCTGTTGTGCGTTAATTTGAAATCTGTACATTATGCAACTAACTTCATCTACTTGTACACATAAACAGCTAACTTCACAGATACTACTTACCAACGGCAGCGCGGCTGGTGGCTGAAAAATTAACTATAAATTCTACAAATTTTCAGGGACAGGCGGGCTAATGCTTTAGCACGTAGCGATCGTTCTCCTTCTCTCCAACCTCCATGATCATACCACAAGTGACATTACTCTTAAGTCATTAAATCATAAGAATAGCTCACCCCGCCCTATATCAAACACGACATTTTTGTGCTGCGATGAACAGAGACCTCTTGCTTTTACTAGTCCAAGTATAATCTTCATTCATTAACCTGTGGAGTCCTGGAACCTTAATCACCGACAGAAATACAATACCAAAAGGCTGTGTACTGTATTTTACTGTGTTTTTCTATATGGTGGTTCCAATTCGAGAGGAAAATCCGCTATGCCCTATCAATTAGCGGGGACGATTTCGATTGTATCGCTCGTGAAGTTAACGCCTTAAATTTGAGATTCCATTCTAGTGTCGACATACTGTACATGAATTAGTACATAACACAAAACATTTAGAGCGGTTTTAGACTATTAATTTTTTTCTACGCATAGGTATACAGTCGTGGCGCACATTACGGGTTTTAAAAAATCGGACTCGCATATTTTGACGTATTCGCTCTAACCGGTAGTGGTCTCTCGCGGCTCGCGTTAATACGACCTCCTCAACGCTTGTAAAAGTTTCGCGTGTGGCAAAAAGTGCCTATAACGCGCCTTCGAGCGTTTCCAAAAACGAGCTTATACTTGCGTATAAAACGCTAGCCTGAAACCGCTCTTACAATGACGGTGGTGTCGATTCTGGCGTGATTCTCTAAACTTAAAACTAAATTTAACATCAGTCTCTCCTTTTCATTCTGTATAGAGAACGACGGGGATGCACTGTTGTCAAATTTAAGTTTAGCTTTAGAGAATCGTGCCAGAATCGACATCATTGTTAAAAATAGTCTAATCTAAAACTAAACTCCTCTGACCTCCATTGAATGCAACATGCTTAAACGGGTTCAAAATGCGTCTTTTTATTACTTTTTTACGTTTCGCATCCTTTTCAGGCTGCGTCATAAGTATTATCCCCTCCATTGTCTTACTTTTACATGCATAATCAGTGTACAGATGCTACACACTCAAATTAACTATAGTCATTGTTCATGCATTTGATTGAAACACCAGCTAGATACTAATGATGCTTGGATCACTCATAAAGTAACATGAAAGTGTGAAGGAGTGTTCAATTTTAGATAAGACAATCTCTACCTAATATTTAGCTCTAGGGACCACATAATAGTTAAACATTAAATCTATAACCTATATTATTTTAAGGCTCGATTAGGCTTTGCCATGATCAGGATGTAATATTGAGAATTTGAGGCTAACTAACATCCACAGTTGGAGCCATCAAATGAAAGTGAAATTAAATGTTATTAAAGTAACCATAATTAGTCTTAAAAATAAGACAATAAATTCTAAAGTAAAACATTTAAGTAGGATAAAATGTGATGCTTTTTGTGTCAACTTGTTTTATCAGTAAGTTAATTCTCTAAGCTATTATGGCTTAGTGGCTAGTAATGAGTAAAAAGGCTTTTGTATTTGTATAATAAGTAAAGGGGAAAATATTTTAAGAAAGGTCTCCCAGCATGTCACATGTGTGACTGGTTGGGAATTATTTTACTAAGTTCTCCCAACGAGTCACAGTGTAACAGGTTACAGTGAGACTTGTTGGGAAAAAAAGGCTGAGTAAAACATTTTCAGAAACAAATAGTATTATGGTTATAATATTTTTTTTTAAGCATGTAGGTATCTGCTCGATGTTTAAATCTAAAGATATTTTTCATGAAGATTTCAAATGTTTAATACTTGTAAAGGTATTCATTTGACATTGTGGGTTACCTACAACATGAAGAGATGGTGCTGCCTTGCAGCTTAAGAAAGGCTACAAAGAATATATATAAGACACGGCCATCAGGGCCGCGGTAGCATAATTGGTCAGTGCATTCGCCCGAATAGCGAAGGATGCGGGTTCAAGTCCTGTCTGCTATCTAGTCCGAGTGGATATTTTTCTAGTAATATTTTCTTTAGATTTAAATAGTATTATGGTTTCATCAATTTAATTTTTTACTACTAGCCAAAATATCTGTAGGATATCAAAGAAAAACTTACAAAAGAAAAGAAAACCATCTCATTAGTCTCTTTTGATAAGTCTGCCAAACATTAATAATTCATAATTATTATTATTTGATATTGTTGAGAGATAAATTTTATCAGATTTACTGAAATAAAAGTTTCACTTAGAGAAAGAAATGGCCTAATCTCAGAAATTATAAAAATTCAGTTCCGTCACACTGTTGATCTTACAAGCTATTGAATAACTATAAAACAGTCTTAAGAAAATTAGTAACAAAAGCAAATACCAGTAACACAAATGGCATTGGACTCGGGAGAGATGAAGAATTGCATCCATCTTTACTATTACATGTGCAGTACTCAATGAAAATGTTGTAAGTCCCAGTCCTCATCAGACAAAATCTCTCATCTCCTTGGATACCAACCTCACCTAAATAAGCACAACCTCTGAAGTAACGCCAAACACCATTTACTGAAATAGAAATATATATATATGTCATTGAAGAGCTCAATGTTGCAGGCGGTTAGTGCATTCGGCTGCAATCATTGAAATTAAGCAACTTTCGCAGTGGTCGTTCATTGGATGGGTGACCAAAAATCTTCTATCTTGAGTTCCTCCATGTTTCAGAAGGCATTTTAAGCCATTGGTCCCGGCTACATCTGCAGTCCTGCCAATCCGCACGGGGCCCGCATGGTGGGTCATGGCCCAATCTCTCTATTCCATCCATAGGGAAGGCCTGTGCCCCAGCAGTGGGAACAGGCTGATGATATATAGGCTGATGATGATGATGATTTCATGTCCCTTAATCTAGGAAAAAGATCCCATTCAAAGAAATTCTGTAACTCAGTAAAATTTTATGAACAATACAGAATATTTTCTTTATTTATATAAAGTCTAGGGTTTTGGAATGTGCTTGTGAAGGCCTTAACATTGACATTATATTTTCTTCACCTTTAAAAATTACATAGGTGCCTTTTTAAGAACGGCCATGTAATAAGTAGGAAAAAGAAGATTAACACCTGGCCAGGTTAGTTATCTGTGGCATGACTAACAACAACAATCGGTGACATAGCTTGAGAATAAAATCTTAGTGATGTTCTATTTATGTTATGAAATCCATGTAGGAATCTTACCTTTTTGTCTGATTTTGCGGCACATAGTAGGTCTCAATCCAGGAAGATGGGATAAGCCTTTTTCTTGTACACAATCTGTTATCGGCACTGTACTGTTATCAAACGGGTCTGCGCACTTTGGATCGTTATTCGAACGGCAATCCCAACATTTTATACTGAAAACTAATATGAAAAAATTAATTTTGTAACCGGTAAACAAGCAATACCATCTAGGTTTGGGGCGTGCCCACAACAATACAAGTTATTTACCGTATTGTGTAACAGCAAGAAGTATGAAAATGCTAATCAAATATTTATCAAGATAAGCCATTATCGAAAAAAATATTTGCAGGATTTTGTTGTTACAAACAAGACGCAAAATAAAATAATAAAAAAACGCTTTCTCGCTTGCCCGTCCGCTGATCAGTGTTACCAGATATGGAAATAAAAAACGCGGAGTTTCAATTGTTTCAAACTTAGTTTCAAACAAAAAGTGAACTGTCTTGCCGGTTCATTTTAGTACAAGGTCTCCTGCCGGCGCCGTAGATTTGCGAACGGATGGCGTAGTTTACCACGTTCACATGTAAAAGCCTAAACTCAATAAATGGATTTTGATTTTATTTGTCTACTAGTGGCCCGCCCTCGTTTCGCTTCGGTGTAGAGCTGAAGTGTAGACTATAGTTTTTGTTCTCAGGCTTGTATTAAACACTTAGAGCATTTACGACGTTACACAATGTGTAAGATTATACACAATGACATTCTTCCTATACCTAATTACAATAGGCACTATATTACAACAGGCCCCCCGCCCGGCAGCGTCAGAACCGCTATGTCCATACATTTTAAAATCTGTAATATATTCGAAAATATTCATTTAAATTACATGCTTTAAAGGGCCACATTGATCTGTATTAAATACACAATGTATTTAAGGTACTTAATTGGTTAAGAACGAATGTTATATTGCTGAAAATCACTTCGTAAATAAGCTGTTATTTCTCGTAAAGAGTATAGAATAAAAAATGTTTATTGTAGATTATCCCTAAGAGATAAACATATACTATCGCAGACTTTTTTGTAGACCTTTTTAAGGTGTACATTATTTTGATCTATCTCGTAGAGTTCAGCCAGCGTTTGCAATGTAAGCGAAAAAAAAATATTTTATTTACGACCTTACATTAAAAGCCTCTAAAATTATCAGTGTTTCTCTACTATATTATGCATGTATTATACTTGTGAACCTCCCTCACTCTATTAAAAACCGCATCATAATCAGTTGCGTAGTTTTAAAGATCTAAGCATACATATGGACATAGGGACAGACAGCGGGAAGCGACTTTGCTTTATACTATTTAATGATGAGTTGGATTGAGCGGTGGCATTGTGTGAGGGCCAAGAGGGCCATGGCCTAGGGCGGGAGGAGCCTTAATAAGTCATTGTTACTGACCTATACATTGATTTGAATTACTAATTCTCTTATTGCAAATCGTAAGTGGCATACCGTGTACGTGAGTGAACATAGTACCAAATTTTATTTTAGTAACTAAGAAATCAGGGGTTTTCTTTAAACCGTAAATAAAAATCAGTTTGTCCCCAAATCATGAAATTTCGTCTGGCACTGTCCCTGGACAGACCAAATACAAACGAGTTTTTGGTGGGATTTCACCGAGTGCGTTGGCGTCTTATTTTAAATTATTCTTAAATTTGTTCCTAGTGTATATTGTGAAATAAAATTGGTGAGATTTTTTGTTACAACCGTCTGCGCAACTGAAGTTGAATTAGTGTAATTTTTAAAATATACGCTTTTCCGGTCAATTGAACGTAAGAACTTTATTGTAGTGCTGACTACCTCAAAGAAGCGTATCGTAAAAGCCAACTCGATATATTTCGTACCAAGCACTCCAAGAAACATTAGAATGCGTCACACCGATATTCTAATGTAAAAAGAAGTATAATTATATATATTTTTTTAATTAAAGACTAGGCTGTATGGGCATTGTTTCCTTTGTCTTCTTCAAATCAGGAGAATCTTAAAAAAAAAGAAGACAGTGACGGTTGGTTGAGTGTGTTTTTGGGTGTGTTGCTTGTTTGTTTTGTATTCATTTTATTTGCAGTGTCTTCGACAAAATGATGAATAAAATATCCTTTCTTTTGTTGTTATGTTCATTACCATCAGGTGGGAAAAGTTATTAATTTAATATATGCACAATCAAAGTAAATTTTGTCAATAGCTATTTAATCAAATTATTTCTTAAATAATTTCAGGTTTTTGTGTTAGATGTTACCAATGCTCATCATTCCAAGATCCTAAAGGAGAAGACACTTGTGGTGCATACAACAAATTCGACAGGGATACCCACATTGCAGTAGATTGCAGTAGTGATGAATCTCATACTCCTGGCTCTTTTTGCATGAAACTTACTCAACAAGGTCCAAAGGGTTTTATCTGTAAGTCCTATTGACTCGTCTCAGTAAATATTGTCTTAATAAAAGCAAATACTTTTAGATACAGTTAATGCTAATGAGATACAGTCCCTATTAGTCGACCTTATTGGACGATGGTACCAGTTGATGTGCCTGTGATTGGCTATCAACGGCCAACTAATGTGAATCAACTTTTCTTTACTTTGTTTTTCACCTCCCTATTTTCTTGTATACCTACTTTTATCTTTACTATCCTTCTATGCTACCTCTTTCAGACTTCTGCCCGCGCCCCTGGCTGTATCAAATAGCATGGACAGTATATTATTAAACACGTTCAAATTTGAATAAGAATAACCTAGTTAAAGAGACATATTGTAAATGATTGAATAAAAATATTATGAAAAAATAATGTAATAGAAATGACCCAAATAATTATAGACCCATCTCTTTAGTCTCAAAGGGCTGTCAACTACTTTGGTGGTATTTAGGTATATGCAAAGTGTACACAACATAATAGATAAAAAGTAGTGTGCGATAGGGTTGTTTTACAAATGACAAAGGCATAGTATATAGTAGTAAGTAAATTACTTACACTAACATTACTTTGTTACTTGGGAAATTACTTATTTTGCTATTATTTTGACCTCTCATAGCCACATATCTAATAACCTGTTATTCTTTTAATGTTTAAGGGGATGGCAGATGGCGTCAAGTGATCCGTCGGTGTGCATCCGTAGCTGATACTGGAGTCACAGGAGTATGCAATTGGGGAGTATACCCTAATGGTGTTTACTGGGAAGAATGCTACTGTTCATCTGATGAATGTAATAGCTCAGGCTATGCTAAATCGTCAACATTATTAATATCTTCTGCTTTTGTAATGTCCTTGGTGTTTACTTACTACAGATTAAGGTAAAAGTTATTTTCTTGTTATATAATTTTTTTTTATATAGCCAGGTAGGCAATTGACTCTAGCGATGCTCGACTACGAATGATTTTACCTTTCGACTAATTCGCAACTACTGATTTGGCTATTCGAAAGGCAAATTTGTAGTATACTAATGTCATTTTTCGAATAACGACTACTAATTAGTAATACTAATGTCAAATTTATAAGAGCGCAATGAATAAGGTTAGGTTATTCATTTGTTCGTTCATCATTTGCCTTAGTTCAGTTAGTTTCCGTATGTTCGTACTTGGCACCTTCTACGATAGTCTTGTATCTGTAATTAATTATTATTATTTTCAGTGAAAACTATATTTACCAGTGAATTTGTTTATTATTACTTGATATATATATTTTTTTTAAATTAAAGAGTTCATATATCAATCTAATCATTAAAAACCGATTGAAAGTACCCTGTTAACTCTGCTCGTCTCTTTCACTCGTCGAGTTCGCCCGACCAAGCCCGAGTCGACCCGGTTTGTTCGTCTTCATCACGTACGTCAGTCGAGAGTCGGTTAGTCGCCGCCCGATACCTTCTACTGCAGTCAAATGATATAAAGCGCAGTCGACTTGGTCGAATGAATTCGTACCGTGGATTCGTGGAGTCGAATGATTAGTATTAGTATTTTTCGAAGTCGCGCTTCGCTAATTGACTCTACTAATGTATTGATGCCAACAAAAGTGTGTCTTTAAAACTTATTTACGTGCCTTAGCCTTAAATTGTGATATACAAGTATGTTGTATAATAGAAGCATTCATCAGTATTTTTTTCTTTAAAAATAAGCCGATATGTTCTATAATGTGTCTCAAATGAGCCCCCAACTTTTAAAAAAATTTGATATTACCTTTGATTAAAACAAAAAGGGAAGATACGGAACGCTCATGCTAGCATCAAATAAAATATGATCCAATTCAACTACACAAGCAACTTTCGTACATGCACACGTTTACACAGTACTGTACGCTTCAACGCAGCGCGAGCGAAACAGCGAATCTGCTTCCGAGTCCATACGGCTGAACTGTTTTGTTGTCCTAAATTTGATAACAAAATAGCTATTACGTAAATAACATTCAAGACAAACCGTGATTTTAGAGAAAAAAATGTGTTGCCGAGACATTTGTTATTTCATTTTGAACTATTGTTTTATCTTTATAACACAATATACGCAATATTGTTATATTGAGTGCACATGCAGCGTGTTTGAATGTCCAATTGTTACTAAAGCGAATTGTAGTCATGCACCACAATTTAAGCGGTTACTTTTGAGCTACAAGTGATGTATCTTCCCTTTTTGGTTTAATCTTAGCATATTACCAATGGTTAGGTTTACATTTTAACGTTTTGCTATCTATAAGTACATAATTATATTGGGCATCATTAAATTTACAAACCCCACACACTAGCGTCGTAGCCGTGCCAGCGTCCGCGCAACGTCGACGCGACGCCATCGCTGGCCGAATTGCATTGTACTTGTTAACAACAAAAAAAACATTGAAAAACGAACTTATTTGTTATTTTAATTTATGAAATGCAGTATATTTGAGAATAGTAGTAATTAATACAACAAAATACATGATCTGACTTAAAATACATTTATTAATATTTTTTATATTCACTGAACATTGCTTTTTTATTTTCAAGAGATTATAAAATTTATGAGAATCATGGTTTAAAGCTTATTCCCATTAGTGATGTGAATAGATCATATCTTAATAATACACTTAAATTAAACATAAAAACACTGATCTAAAACACAACATTTTGTGTGGATAATGATCATCATTTGTAAATCTTCTATTGATCTGTTAATATATTAAGGAAAGGAATTATGACAAAAATCTTTACTTTTAAGCACTGATTTGATAGTTTATATTATATGAAATAATTGTAAGGTTTTTTTATTGGTCAACATTATTTTTTCATTATATTTAGTAGGTAAGTAAAAATAATAGGATAAAGTTTCGCTGGTAATTAATACAGTATGTGACTGTACCATGTATATTATTATATTTTTATTTTAAACATTTAACTGCTGGATGTCGTATCTGAAACTTCATTCGATCAATTTGCTGCTCCCACTCTTCTGTAAAAGCTTGTAAAGCTGGTGAATAATAGTTATATTATTATGTGTTATTGCTGCTGCTCTAATCTTTATAGGGTTTATAGTCAGTACCTACTATAGGATGGCCAATCCAAGACAAAGACTGGTTATTTTTTTTTTATTACTATTGCAGTACGTTGAGGGTCCGTGTCGTGGTGGACACACGAGACCACTGGCAAAATTTCTTCGGCATAAAGCAACACACAGTGTCTTCTAAAATATGTTTGTATTGAACTGTACCTGAACTGAACCTGTACTATCGCCGTCTATTTTTTCACCAGAAAAGCCCAGAAGAACAGCCACACACTTCTGTATTTCCTCCTTCATGTTCGACTGTTTTTTTTTGTATATTTAGGGCTCAGTTTTGTGTTAGGAGGACTTCTTACGTATTGATTTAGTTAATTTTAGTTTCGTCTGAAAAGAGTACAATTTTCCACTCTCTGTCTCTGTCCAGTGTAAATATTTTTTCGCAAACTGTAATCTTGCTCTCACGTGCTCTTTTTTCAAAAGAGGATCCTTACAATATACCCTCGCAAACAAGTTTAACTCATACAAACACATTTGTATGGTTCTTAATAACTTCCGATCCTCTTTCATCAAAAATGCCTACTCGAATAAGCTCTGAGCCTTTAGACGGTTCTTTCTTGGCGTGATAACGTCTTATAAATTGAAGAACACCAGCTGCACGCACGAAAAAGTATGATGTCATGTCACGTTATCACGAGTTCAACGTTCCGCGTGAGGTGTGAACGTGTGAGATGAAGTCGAGGGGGACCTTCGCATCCCTGACTTCCTGACGCTTCGACTGTTTGTTTTCCTAGGCCTGTTTTTTCTAATTACGTCTTCTTTACTATTATTTTTCTACTTCGTAGAAGAGCTTGTGAAAGTGTTTTCAAATGAAAAAAACCGTAGCAATAAAACATACAATTAATATTCATCAGATTTATGAAGCTGTTACAGAAGCATGGGAGAAAAATGATTAGAAATTTGCAGCAACTTGATAGCATCAATGCCAAGGCGTCAAGCTTTTAAAGCTTCCATAGGGCATAGAAGTACATATTAAAAAGCTTGTTATTTTAAATTTCATTATCATTAATATGACAATATTTCTGTATTTTTTAAATTAAATACACTTGGTCGTTAGCCCGTATTCGTGTGAACAAAAGACATAACTCGAATTCATGCACCGGAAGCAATATTTACACTGGAATACTGGCTGGCTGGAAGCCGGTGTCGGGTAATCAAAACAAAAACTACACTCTCAAACTCAGTCGTTTACCCGAATTCCATTGGCACTCGTATTCGGGCTAACGACAAAATGTAATCGCACCATTAGTTTCCGTGTCTTAAATTCGTAGGCCAGTATTTCTTTTTCATTCACTCGGAATGTCCTACCAAACTTGTTATTCATTTTATATTATAACAACTTATAGGAAGATCCTTATTTTAAAAATAAAATTCACTTTAGTAACCTATTGTGCAATTATTGAAAAACTAGCAAACCAGTGAACCAAATGTTCACCAAAACCTGATTTAAAAAAAAAAGAAAAATGTATTTAATTAGTTGAGAACTTCGGAGATTTTGTGTGGTTTCGTTTGAAATTCGTGATTTCTCGAAAACCGGAAGTGCTACGTTACTCAAATCCGGTTTGTAGTCTTATCAGACTATTCTTAACTTATAACTTAAACATTCTCTTTATCTATCTCTTACGGTTTGGCCGCTGAAACATCACCACAGACAGACGGACGGACGGACGGACTTGTCTAATAGATAAGAGATTATGTATACTTCAAGCTTTGGTAGTGTTGTAAGCCGGGTTTCAAGAGGTCCCATGTTCGAATCCCGGTGGGGGCAGATGTCTGTGTGATGAATACGTGCATTTGTACTCCATTGAGGGATGTTTAATATGTATTTCTCTATAAATGTACCTACTTATATATGTATCAGTATATGTATTCTATCCGTTACCCTAGTATCCCATAACACGAACCTTACTTTGGGGCTAGGCTAATTGGTGTGAGTTTTGGAACTATTTATTTATGTGAACACTACGCGTCAGCGTGTTTTTTTTTTCTAGTAAAACTTTCTTTAAGTTAAAATATCTATCAGTTAAATTCTTAAAAAAAGATATTCCCAAAGTATTTTCTAAAAATAACAATATCTCTCTAGATTTGATTAGGCTATTTTCCCACATTAAGTGGTTTTGATTTATATTTTTACTATTTTAAAATATCTGTTGTGGAAGATGGCGGAATATTAAACTTAATTTACTTTTAATATAATTTTTCCTTGATTTTTAATTTTAATATTTATTCTGCTATTTGGGGCGGAGACGAATAGAAAAGACCAGAGCTCATTAAATAGTTGTTGAGTTTTAAGTGGTGTAACTAACAGGAGTTTGTTTGTTTTTTAAATATGTATAGTTATAGTATATTCATGTATCTTTTGTGTAATGTTATTTTTTATTATATACAAATTTTACAGCTGTTTTTAAAGCTGCTGCTTAGTATAAGTGAAAGCTTTTGTATCAGAAAAAATAACCCGTCCAGAACTATTATTAGAAATAAATAAAAATGAGATGAAATATATAACAGATTTTTATTAGGTGTATGCTTATGCACATAAGCATACACCTAGCGATTGGACATCTTCAGAGATGGCTTTAGTGCAGGGTTGGTAGATACTTACAATATTGAAATTATTTGTTATTGTATTCGGATGCAGTAGCGGCCTCCTTTATTCCCAGTCGTCTACCGAATTCATACCCTTATACCACTGGAGGATAATGGGAATAAAAAACTGAAGTGGAGGCAATGACTTTATTCCCATTTGCCTCCAGTGGCATCTTTGTAAGGAAACAATAAAATAGAAAGAAATAATGAAAAGAATTTAATGTTAAAACTAAAAAAAGAAGTTCGTTCTGATAAGAACTTTTCATTGAAACAATGTCGAAAGTATTAGAAGATGCGTAACGAAAATTTCAGTTTCGTCCTTCCTACAGCTAAAAAGACCACGTCGTTCCCAATCCAAAAGTTCAAGTCCTTTTACAGCTCAACAGTTCACGTCCTTTTACAGCTCAAAAGTTCACGTCCTTATACAGCTCTATTTGTTCAGCAGCAGCTCCTAGATCTGCCCTCATTACCCGCTGTATCATCATTAATCGTCATTTGTAATTATAATTATCTCTATCTTTACTATAGTTATATATAACAACGGATAACGCTATCCCACGTTGGACTAGAAGTGTAAGAAAAACCTAGAATGCGACAGCTGATGACATTTTAATGGCTAACGTGTACCTAAATGATTCTCGCTGTATTGGTGGTCTAGGCCAAAGTCGCACTTTCGAAATAATCAAGTACCAGGATCTTAAAGTATACAGGTAACGTACACCTATATACCAGGGCGAAGAACCAGTTTACCAAATACTTGCAAATATTTTCTAACCACAAGAAGTAGGAATAGGAAGTAGGGCATTGATCGTTAATGTCTGAACTATGGGGATAACAATCGCGCTGGCTGGCGTGTTGTAAATCTTTATTTATTTACAGTACCCTTAGCACGAACCATTATCGAATTCGAATAGTTTGCAAGTACGAAATTTCATTGTCATTGTCAAATTTTGTATGGAAATTTGAACAGCAGCGCTATAACTAACGTAACGGGAACTAAAAATCAGTACATATTTGACAATGACATTTCGCACTCGCAAACTATTCGAATTCAATATTGGTTCGTGCTAGGGGTACTGGAGGGTTGGGAACCGGCAAAACTGTTGAATTTCGTTTGATTTTGGCAAAAATAAGGATCGAAGACTCACAACATACTTTTCCGATAGGCCAAACGGGATCTTGACGATAAGATAAAAGCTTGGCTAAAAATTGCCCTTATTAAAAGTATCTGTGCACTACAGTAACAGTTAGAGGTCTGACAACGACCAATTAGCAATTATAAATGTTGAAGTCCTTTGAAAGACAGAAATACTGCGGTAGAGTGCTTAAACACTTTTAAATAACGCAATGGTATTCCATATCACAAACTTTTACCACTTTTTGATGCACTTATCATGTTCCTATTTACTTTTTTCTCAATACTTCTCAAAAATTTCTCTGTTTTGAAATATTACATAATGGAGTTTCCACATTTGTTAGGTTCAGTAGCAACTTTAAGGCAGAGTGTGCGTTCCCACCGCCTTGCAAAAGTGTTGCGGCAAATCCCGAAGAATCCAAATCTAATGCAATGTCACATCATCATCATCAGCCTATTAATGTCCCCACTGCTGGGGCACAGGCCTTCCCCATGGATGGAATAGGGAGATTGGGCCATGACCCACCACGCGGGCCCAGTGCGGATTGGTGGGTGCTAACGACTGTAGATGCAGCCGGGACCAACGGCTTAACGTGCCTTCCGAAGCACGGAGGAGCTCGAGATGTAATTTTTGGTCACCCGAAAGTTGCTTAACTTCAACGATCGCAGCCGAACGCGCTAACCACTTGCGCCATCGAGCACCTAATAACAAAATTTGGCCCTCACTTGCATACGCACTTCTTACTATTTGTTCATGATCACGGAGTAACTGAAGTAATTGCGGGTAAATGTTATTAGCAGACATATCGGTCTACCCTCTTACGTCGTTTTTTATTGCGTTCGATAAACCTACTATTGGTCACATTCTCACTATTCACTCGAACTTGTTCCCGTCACACAATAATCGAAATATCGGAGACTCATAAAAAACAAAGTACATGGTAACAATCCCGTTAATAGCTATAAAGTTTCAAAATCATCAGTACGACCGCAAGATCAAACACGGTGGAGAAGCGTTTATGAATCGGAAATCCAAGAATTCGCCATACCGCCTCTGAACTACTTATTTACCTCCTACTTTCGTAATTCTTTACTTCACCTTTTTCATTATGAACTTGCTAACGTATTTTATTGGTGACAGAATTCAGTGTTTATATACGCGTCAAATGTTCTCAAAAGAACTGGAACTGGATTATATTGAACTACCCAGCGGTTGTCAATCTCTACTCCATTTATGTCAAAAGTAAAGCAACCTATGTCTGGAGAACGTCTTCTATCGTCGTCGTCTTTGGTTTGTCTTTCA